ACCCGATGCCAGTCCTCCCTCATTCTCCTCCACGTTCACCACCACCTCCGACTACCACCCTGTAGCACTCCTGGCTTCCTCCACCTCGTGAACGACGACGACGACGACAACGACGCCACCCCCCAGCCACCCTGGACGCCCCCCGTATTCTACAGCAGCATCGCGGAATCCGCGTCGCACCATCGCCAAGCACCACGAAGCCCTGTTGAATGCCACATTTCGTAGGAGAAGAAGGGGGTGCGAAAGTGGGACCGGAGCTCGCCCGGATGTCGCTGTAGCTTTCATGAAGAGTGACTGAGAGAGAGAGAGAGAGAGAGGATAGATGGGAGGTAGAGTAGGACGAGTCGAGGGGGCGAAGAGGGTAAGGAAAGAAAAAATAAATGGAAAATAGATATATAGTCAAAAGCAACGGGACCGCCTCCAGCAAGATACCTTCTTACGAGAGACATTCAATTTCACGTCGAAAGCATTCTTTGTCGCATTACCGGTAGCTGAAGGATCGCACCAATGGAAACGTTGGATGTGCCGACCTTCGCGAGTCGATGGTTTTCTTCTTTCTTGGGCTGAAGGTGTCCGCGTGTGTATCCATTGCCAAGTCCACTCCTAGCACTTGGACGGCCACTTAAGTCGTGAAGAGGTGCTAATTGGAGGGGTGACGCATGAAAGCGTTTTCGTCCTTTATCGAAGAGCCCTAGGCATATCCGACGACCCTCCTAGGGATGGAAGGAATCTTTTTTTTTTTTTCCCTAAGCTACGTACTGCCATAGACTAAGGGTTGCAAGCATAGAGCGATAAGATTTGAATATTCCCTCGATGATCTTGGTCCAGCTAATAGATCAAGTATCCAATTAGGACCGGAAGGTATTATCGATGATTAAATCATGACGAAATTAAAAGGGTATATGTACGGGGGTTGGATAACGAAGATGTTAGGACCGACCCGGAGGACAAAGGACTAGAAAACAATTTACCCCGAAATTCGTGTCACCGCTTTGGACTGGATACACTCTTATTTGTCCCTGCGGCAATCTGTCGACTCTCAACGCGCAACCCCTTCTTCGTGCCTTTGGTCCTCTTTCGGCCCTTGTAACCATCCAACCTTCCAGCAAAGCCATCCTACGACTCCCCCCTCCCCTACCCCCGCCACGGTTTACCCCCTCTAAGAGAAACCGCGATCCCTCACGGGAATTTTAAACAGCGGTGATTCGTCAGCATCCTCGTCTTCTCTCCCACTACCTAACCAGTACCGCCGGCCACCCCTCCGAGCGTGCTTTTCAAAGCCCGCGCCCTTACCCCACCATCGGTATACGTTGACGGCTCACCACTCGCGGCAACTTACGAATCTTCACGATCTACCGCCACGAATCTTTCCGAAATCACGAGCGAACGAAATCCTTCCTCTTTCCCCCTTGTCATACCTGCGTTTGCCCTCTGTCAGATCACTTATAGATCAGCAGTCGATCGGTACGTTAGCGGGTGTCCTGATAACGCCTCATAGTACTAAGATACCGGAATGATACCGCCGACGTATTGGCAAAACAATAATAATAAGCAAAAATCACAAAAATATATTTCACAATAATCCACCTTTTTTTTTTATTCCGCGTAAAAACGACGATAACGCTTAAAACTTTATAACGTGACCACTAATTATTACCATTAGCGCGGATCGATGGAAAAATCCTATACGATCTATCTCCCGATACATCTATAAATCGCCGTATTGATATAACAAACCGAGAAGCCGCGAGATGTAGAATTGTCATGGTTTGGAAGAAAAAAAAGAAAGAAAAAAAAAAAGAAACCGCGATCCCCCGGGTAAACCCAGCCTAGTAATATTCCCGGGAAGTAAGCTACCGAGAATTTCGCCTCTCTATAGCAGAACCACCCCTCCGACGAAGGGATGCAAATAACTGGTGATAACAACAGATAGCTCTGCTACCGAGAGAGGGGGGGAG